CCAGACGATCGTCCGCCCCGCGCGGATCGTCCAAACGCCCTCCTCTCTGCCTCTCTGCCGTCTTCGTCTCAACGAAGGCTCCCGCCTCCCGCCTCCCTCTCGTCTTCCTCTTTCGTCTCTCCGCGGACTTCAAACGAAATAATTAAGTCACTCCGTACGGGAGGGCGACTAACGAGACCGCCGCCGCTACTAAAACTGGCGCCAATTATTGAAATTCAAACGGACAGCCCTCGCGTTTCTCTCGGCCCGGTTGGGACGGGCAACGGACAGCCCCTTAGATATCCGGTCGCGACGAATCGTGGTAAGAGAGAAAAATGGACGGAGGATGATACAGCGGATGGGTGAGTTTTGACGAGTTTAAGAGGGGAGCGGGATAAATTAGATCATCGTGAAAATCGTATCAATTTAATCGCAGCGTAGATAAACGTATATGCATGTAACACGGTTAACTTTGATTCAAAGATCAGTTGTTTACAGGATAAATCGTGAATAGTACTTTCATGAATGAATTTTTTTTTTTTTTTTCTTTTTTTGTCTACATAGCAGCTCGCACGAGGGAGATAAACATCGGGCGTGCGGCGTATCAAAGTCAATTAAAGCGAACGACCGATGTCCCATTCGTAATAACGGCGGTATTGTGTTATGAGCGCGATGAAACGTCGAGTTTCGCACGGTAATTCCGAACGTTGATTGAAAAAAATTCCCCCCCGTCCCCGCGCCCCGCTGTAACCGAGCGCCACTTCACCAAAAAATTAACGGGTACACGTGAACGCCAGCATTTGACGGGATGCGGATTAGCTCGCTTCTAAGGAATCGGTATCGCTAACGGCAACCATACGAACGCGTTGCCTTCGTTGCTAATAAGGGACGAAGACATTCGAATCGAGTCACCGACTGAACTTACGTGTCACGCTGAGACGCGAAGAGAAAAAGAAAAAAAAAAAATGCGACGACAGATTTATTCGTCGAGTACGAACTCGCAATATCGGGATAGCGCGTAATTTTCACCTTCCATTTGTCTTCCAACCATTTTTTTTCATTTACCATCTTTCGCGTGCAAAGCGGATTACGCGGAATTTTATAACAATTTTCAAACGACGCGGATTGAGCGGGAACAAGCACGCGCGCGCGCGCGCGCGCACGTTAATCGCACCACTGTGGAAAGGGCAAATGCGGTTTTCACCGGAAGCCCCTGTTAAATTGAACGTGTGATCGCGCTCGAACCAGCCTGGCCGAATGGAACTTGTGAAATTTGAATTACACACCGCATCGCAAATTCCTCTTTCACGTTTTTCGTTTTTATCACTGCAATTAGCGATGATATTTGCGTGTAAAAGAGAGGAAAGAAAAGAAAAGAAAAGACAAAGACGAAGAAAAACACGCCATCCATTCGAAAAGTCAAAAAAATCATCGTAGAAAGTAAGTTGCCAATAATTGATCGGAGTTTCTTTCTTTTCGAAAACTTACCTAACAGAGTTCGAAGCTCGAGCCAGTTTCCACGGATACCTTGTGCCGAGAACGATTCTCCAGATTCCCTCCGTCACGTGACACCACTACACCAGCTGCACAGAACAACGTTCACTGTTTATCATTCGACTCGCCATGGAAAATCGGAACGAGTTTGCGCGTAATTCGTTATAATCGAATATATAATAAACGGGTTAACTAACGGGTCGTTTCTATTCTATCTCGAAACGAGTCATCGCGGGTTCTTCGTGAACACCGTGAACGACGAACGATAGAGTCACAAGAGGATACGACGAGATAGGCACGAAACCGCCCGTTCGGCGGCCAGTTGTAAACTACCGAGTACCGCGTGCGACCGCGGCACGCCACCGAAAGTGATAAATCCCCACTTCTTCCACCGTTTACCCCTCTAGCCGCCCCACTCNCGTCCCCGTATCCCCACCACTCGGCGGATTTCCATCCCTGCGTCGCTGCTCTCGCCTTCCCCGCCGGTGACGATCCACCCCACTCCTGTCAGTCACACTCGACCGTCATCGCACCCGTATCCCGAACCCGAGGAACTCGCACAAGCCGAAACCCGTATTTGCACCCGCCATCAAACGCAACCCGCACTCGCTGCCCCACTCCGCGGCCGCCTATCATCGAACCATTTACGCTGCCGCACAGTTTAACTGCTACTCGAGCGAAATTCTCGGGCAGCGAGGAGCGCGGGGGTTCGCGTTTCAAGCCGATTAAGACGATGATCAAAGCGCCAATCGTATCGGTACGGAATATGTTCCCACGAGTCGAGTGCGGATTCGATCGGGATGGAGGAATAAAGAGATTTCTAAGCGGAGATGTTTTTTTCTTTTTTTTTTTTTAAGAGGTCGATTTGACTTGTATATTCGTTGTAAGTTAATTAAATGCGGGAATAACGAAGCACCGACCGATACGGATCGTTGGAATGGCAAAGGGGAAGGACTCGATAGAAACGATTTTCATCGACCGATACGCGGTTTAATAATAACCACGCGGGCATCGGTCGTAGGAACAGAAGTGTCTCTAATTACCGTCCTTTCGAGGATAAATCAACGAAGGAGAGATTTGCTTTGTATCGAGAGATGAAAGCGTGTACGTGCAAATACCGTATACACACGTATACACACGTTGCGCGCGGTGGAGTTGGAGGGA